ATTGCATTATCTAACAGTTATAAATATTTAATTTTTTCTGTTGGTTTATTTTTAGCAATCATCGTCTTTATTATGAGCTATCATCTTTTTATGTTTTTTTTTTTGTTACATATTATCAATTTTTTTTTAAAAAAATTAAAATAATTGTAGTAATTGGGGACCACCTCCTAAAAAAATAATTCATGATTACTATCATGACCCGTTTAAAAATACTAAACCATATTGCGAAGCTTGTTGTTCAACCGAACATTTTTATAAAGACTGTAAATTTAAAGCAAAATACTGTCTTGCTTGTTACTCAACTGAACATTTTTTCAATGATTGTTTATATAACAAATGTTCTTGATGTGATAAAAAACATGTTGGACAATGTAAAAAAATAAAATATTGTTTTATTTATAAAAAAAATAATCATGAAATTGAACATTGTTTTTTTAAATATAATAAATAAATAACGAAAACCTCGATTAAAAAATTGTTAGTTTTTTTAGTTTTTGTTATGTATTGTTTTTTTTTTTCTTTTATAAAATAGAATTTTTTTATAAAATTTTATTTTTTTTTTATTTTGATTGTTAAGTTATAATTTATTAATAAAAATAAATTAAATTTAAGCAATTTCAATATTACAACTACATAAATCAAATGAATAACCGTTCTTAAATTTAATATTTGCTAATTTGCTTCAGGGTAAAGTAATTCGAGTAAATATTCTTTGGTGGTTTCTTTGATGATATTATTAGCTTTATCAAGAACAAATTTATGCTGCTTAAAAAATTCTCGACGTTCTTTATCAAGAAGAGCATTTTGCTTATCACTCAACTTGATTTGAATATATTCAGTTATGTGATCATCATAGAAAAACATTATCAGTCTTCGATAATTTGTGTTTTCGTTCTCTCTGAACCACGTATAATCCACATGTTTTATCTTTTTTTCTTTAATATTTTGAATTTCAAAATCGCTTGATATTTAAAACAAATTATATAAATAGAAATCTAATCGGTTCAGTTTAAACTGATTAGATGTTAATTTTTCTTTATAACAGTCGTAAATTAAATTTAGAAATTTGATATTCAACAAATTCTTCCAATAGTAAATAAATTTTCTTCCTATCGAACTCTCCATATAAAAAATTTTCTCTGTTTCTATGAAGATAATAAATAAAACTGGAAATATCTTCTATTAAATAAATTTGATCAGAATTTACATTTTTAATAAAATTACTCGGATGAAAATAATAATATATATAAGTTTTTAAATAATTTTCATAAATTGCTTTAGGAATCAATATTTTAAAACAAAAATAATCAAATTTTTGGAAATAATTATTCGAATTTTTCTAAATTATTTCAGTAACGATCCAATCTTGACATAATGTAGAAATTTGATCAAATCTTAATTCGTCACAATCTTTGTTTTGGTTATTAATTTCTAATTTATATTTATTGTTAATTCGTTTTAAAGTTATATTTAATAAAATGCTTTTCGTGAGATTATAAAACATTTTATTAACTAGTGATATAATTTTAACTTCCTCAAAATTTGTAAATTCATAATAATTTAGTATATTAAAAAATATTTCTGGAGAAAATATTTTAATATTTAAATACAAAAAAATCTAATCGGTTTGAAAACTGATTAGTAAAAAATTGTTTACTCTGTTCTTACGATGATTTAAGGTTCCCGAATCGTTGATATCTTTGATATCGATGATACAGCTACGACCCTGCCTCGCCTTAAATCATTGTAATGAACATCTTAAACAAAGAAAATGGACTGACTATTAGTTTCTCTCTCTTACTCCCTCACTCTTCAGTCGGTGTTTGTGAAAAGAATTTCGAACACCTCGATTTGATGATAAACAATTCAACGAGTTGAATTGTTTCTAATCAATATCTCATTTTCGAAATTTTTAAGATTAATAAATTTTATTAACTTAAATAAAAATAGGATTTTTTTCAATTGCTTCTTGTAATGAACCAAGTTTAGCTAATCTATCAGCTTGTTCATTACCATAATTTCCCAAATGACCTCTAACATGAATCAATCGAACTGTATCTATTTTATTGTCAATAAGTTTTTTTAACCTTTTGATTAAATCTTGATTTTTGACTGGTGTATTTTTATAACTCATATATCCATTTTTTTCCCATTTTTTGACCCAATCTTCAATTATATTGATTACATATTTACTATCTGTCATTATTTTCAAAGGTTTTATTTTATTTTCACAAACTTTGAGAGCTCTAATCGCAGCATAGATTTCCACGCGATTGTTAGTCTGTTCCGAACCTGGTAATCTTTTGCTTAAATTATTAGGGTCATTATCTTTCCAAAATACTCCAATACCTGCCCGAGCTCATGTTGTACCATTATTAAATGATGATCTATCTGTCCAAATTTGAATTTTACTATCATTTAAAATTACAGAAACTTCACATTTTCCTTCAATAAATTTTTGAGCTTCGATACGAATAGAGAATTTTTTATACATAGCATTACGAAATTCATTAACTTGTGCTTCACATTCATCCCAAGTTAAATAAATTCCTGGTTTACGTCCTTTTCGTATAGCATAATATCCCGGGTTGGTTTTTGGCATCTAAAAAAAAAAAAAATTGAATTGGTCAGTTGGTCGATCGATCAACAAATAGTCAGTCCAGTGAGAGTTAGTATCAAGTAAAAGAAGCAAATTCTTAAACAAAACACAGTTTGGAGC